TGTTCATTATCTATCTCCAGGCTCTCCTATATTACACTTGTCTCCATTTTGAATTTTTAAAATCACACAAAAGCAAAAGTTTATTCTACTTTTTAAAAATTAAAAAAAAACCCAGGTGAGGGTCATGGAATGGCACCCAGTAATTTAATCAACCAAAAAAAAACCCAAAAACAGACCGGGGAGACCTTATCCATCCCAAGAAAATATCAAAGTTTTAATATTCCTGCTTTTTGAACCTGATTTTCACTACATCCAATCCTGAAACCAGCAAAATTCATCTCTTTCAGCAGAGTCTTCCATTCTAAAAATTTAATGCCAAGAAACAGCCTTAAAACCATACAAACTTTATAAAAACACCTCAGATTTTGCTAGTTTAACCCTTTGATGCCCGGGGCCCTATAAACTCTTACAGTACCGTGTTTGCGTAATTTTAAACTCATAAATTCTAGCGGCTTAAATCAAGCAGGAGAAGCTGGTAGGCCCACAGTGAGAAATGGGTCTGTGTGGTCAGTTTGCCAAAAAAAAAAAAATCCGGGGGCACGCATGCATAATGTAAAAAAAAAACCCGACCATTTTTTTTTTTAAAAAGCCGACTTTGGTCTATTTTCGTATAGTATTTTTTTGTTGTTTCTGTTTTCCCTTGGGCTCATTTGATAGAAATGGAAAAAAAAATTATAGAAAATAGAGGGGGTTTTGATTGTTTTTTCCTATAAAAAAACCTAGAAATGGAGCTCAAAATTTGGGAAATTTTTTATTTTTTTTCCCAATGGGTTCAAAAGTAAAAAAATGATGCCATTTTCCAATAAATGTCCAACTAGCCATTCTAAAAAGCACCCCTAATGGGGTTTAAAGTTATTTAAACAATTATTAAAGTTGGGGAGTAGTTGCATAATATAAGTCTTCTATTTTTTTTTTTTGAAAAAAATTCAAAAAAGAAAGCAAGAGTAATATTAGAGGGGCCTGGAGACATACTGATAGGGAAAGAAAATGTTATTTTTTTAGGCCAGGAAGTCTGCAATGTTTTTATTCGGACCTTATTTTGAAAATTTTTAATATTTTTTTTGTTTTTTGGAAATTGGCCAATTTTCAATTTTGGACCACATTATTTTAAATTAAATCGGGAAATGGCAAATTTTTTTTTTTACCAATCGATAGAAAAAATAAGTTTTTAAAGAAAATAGCTATATTTGGGGGGCCCGGAATAATGAATTAGCGAAAATACTCAAATGGGGGAAAATTGCCGATTTGTAAACACGCTGGAGGCGCAAAAAATTGCAGGCATAATTTTTGTCATTTTTTCCATCAAATTTTGTTTTTTTGGTGTCTTACAATCGGGAAAAATTCTCTACATTTCATAAGAAAAAATAATTTTTTTTTTTTTTTAAATTTTGCGACACCAGGGAAAAACACCTCAGGATTGGGGGTTGCACTCAAAGGGTTAAACCAAAACAAATCAAAGGTTTGCATTTCCCCACAGCACTCATAGGAAAACATTTTTTTTTTTTATGTCATGCACATTTTCCTGCACAATTAATTCTCCCAGTCAGGCCAAAATTATAGCTAAAAGCTACCTAGGGAGCAACACAAACTAAATCTATGTAAGTGATCCAAAGATCTACTCACTGATGTAGATCTATGATAAACATGAAGGTTTAAAAATTTCAGAGCTTACTGAGTCAAATGCATAGTTTAGACATTGTAATGAATAGGGGCAATTCCCCAAAACTGACTACGCAATTAATATTATTTTTATTATTATTTATATTTAAATTGTCACAAATTGACGTAACAAATTTCTTCAAAATTTAGAGGTGGGGGGAGCCCATAACCTACCTTTTTTGGAAACAATCCTTTGATTTAAGAGTTTGACAAAAAAGGTGGGTTTTATTTTTTTTCAAAATATCCTGTAATGAAAATGCCAAAAAGTAAATTTTCAATTTTTTCGGGTTTGGTTGGGTGATATCACAAAAACAAAAGGGGGCCATTTTATATCATGTGATGAAAAGGGGTTTGGTGTGTTTCGGGTCTCATCGGGATAGGAAATCCTTGGGGGTAAGGAGGAGGTTGATAAGGTTTTAAAGGGCTAATTTTATTCTAAATGCTTGTTTCCATGGTTTTGATAAAAAAAAATTTAGAAATTTCACCCTAAACCCAAAGAAATAAGAATTTTTAGAATTGCTCATTGCCTTTTTTGGGAAAGGGTGGAGAGCTGTTTTATAGTAACGCAGGGGGAAAACAGAAAAGGGGGACATTGGGGCAAATACTTTTATCCATAAAAGCCTAAAAAGTTTGTTATTATTTCTAAAGATGTTCCGCTGGAGCCAAAAAAGGTATATACTCCCCGGGTGAATTTTGTTCAGCTCATAAATTGTTAAAAATTTTTCATCATTTAATTGAGCCCCATAAAAAATACAATGTCACAAAAACAGGTTTAACTTTATGTTTTTTTTTTTTTCCCTTGAAAATTGCTGTGTCAAATCAGGGGACTGTAGCGATGTATATCCAAAGCATTTTTATTTTGTTGGGGGACATCCCCGAAAAAGGGAAGTACAAACTTTTTAACTTTTTTGTAGAATAAAATGAAAAATTTAAATAACATCCATTATTTAACAAATTTTTTACTTTAAAATAACAAAAAAGGCACAATACCGTGACTGGAAAGATACACAAATAACCCCCACATAAAAAGAAAGCTTACACGACTTTCGTCCTTTTGGACTTTGTCAATGGGCCAAGTCGACCGAAATGTCGTCGTAACTTTTTCTTTTTTTGGGTTATTTTTGGGATTTTTACTTTATTGTAGAAAAATTTGTGAATATTTCCCAACATTTGATTATTAATTCTTCATTTCTTTTTTTTATTTTCAAACTTAGAAACAGTTTTTCACTCGTTTTTACTTTTGTGACCTTCCCCCCCTCACAAGATGCACTAGCAACAGGGATATCACTGGACGTATTTTATCTGGTATAAATAAAGAGCCCCCAAACCAACAAAAATGGAACCCATGGCATTACTGCCCGTGGCAACTTGCTTTTTCTGCACGGGGTTATTTGATAGCCCTTTTTTCATTCTGCTTTATATACTGCAGACTATAAAAATGTAACAGTGAATCCTAACAAAATTTTTTTTCCCTGGGTATTTAATTTGGGACTGACATTCTCTCGCTCTAAACTGTTTTGAACGTCCTCAATTTTACCACTGTTTTTTTAACCCTTTCGGGGTCCGTCCCGTAGATCTACGTTTTTACTTCGGGGTCCAAACCAATCTACGCCATGGCTCAGCTCACTCTGATAAACTGTGATGGTACTTTTGGGCCTAATATGAAGAATACATCTAGGGTGTAGTGTGCACCCATAAAACAGATCCGCAGCACACTGTGGATAATGAAGAAAAAAAAGAAATCAAATTTTTTGTTTAAAACGCAACTTTCAGTTTTTTTTTCGTATTTTTTTTTTAAGTTGATTTGCGATTTTTGGTCTCATTTGATAGAAGGGAAGACAATTACGAAATAAGATGATTTTGTTTGTTTGCAGGAAAGGGCTTGAAACGACTCAAAGTAGCGGAAATTTAAAATTTTTGCCAAATTCAAGAGAAAACAAACACCTCACTCAAAATACACATCACTGGGGGTTTCAAATAAACATTCACAAATAGGTGATGATATTTTTTCAATTTTACAGTATTGCAAAACTTAAATCTTTTTTTTTTTTTTTGGTGTGAATAAAAATTCATTAGTAATAAAAAATAAAATGGAATTTTTTTTGTAAAGCCTCAAAAAAATAAAGAACAAAAGGGAAAAGTTTTGTTTAGGCCAGGGGAAAGCCTAATTGTTCATTCTGGGGCCCTATTTTGAAATTGGAAATTTTTTAAATTGTGTTAAATTGGCCAAATTAAAAAATTTCCACACTTTATTTTGTATTTTAAACATTTTACTTGGTGAAATTTTTGTGCCAATCGATAAAAAAAAGTAATACAGTGAAATAGCTAAGAATTTTGGGTTTATTTGGGAAAAAGTAATTGGCCTAAAAAGGGAGTCCCAAAATCGGGAAAATCGCCGATTCTAAATTTCGCGAACACAAAAATTTGCGAGACATAATTTCGTCAATTTTCCACCAATTTTTCCTACTTTTTTTTTATTACCTTCACAAAAAGATTCTCACGATTTTCCCTAAGAAAAATAACAAATTTTTTTTTTTTTAAAAAATTTTTTTGGGAAATGGTGCGTGACTCCAATTTGGCCTTCCCCGAAAGGGTTAATGCATTTTTTTGAAGGCGAAAATTGAAGAAATTAAATTTTTAAATATTACGTTTCCTTGGGAAATTCCCTTACACCTCATTTTAACAACTTTTCCCTTTTAACAAATAAGTGGAATGTGCAAAACCGGACATCTTTACTGAAAGGTTTCACCACCAGGACTTACAGTCAATATTTTTGTCAATAAAAAGATTTATTTGTACAGTGGGGTTTGAGCATATGCACAAGTTATTGCGTTAAAAAGAACATTTCAAAGTAATTATGTAGTACAGTTTTTACCCGGGAAAAACCCAAGAAGTAAACATGTGACTAGTTGCTGTTTCTAGTGATATCAGACCATGATTCAGTTGTCATATTGTGAGGGCATACAATGTTGTGGGTTCATAAGTACATTACATAGTATATTGTGTAGATTTTTTTTACCCAGGATAACCCAAGAAAATCATACAGTATTGCTTCCATGTTTCCAGGGTATTACACCCCTGACTTAATTGTATATCATAAGATTTTCTTGTACATTTAGAAAAGTTCACAAAAGAAATAAGAAAAAACTAATGTTACACTAAGTGAAGTTGTCAGGAAGCCTGACTGACTTGCATACAAAATGGTACAAAACTGCCTGTGTTGCAATTAAGTCAGGCTACCACACACTGGTCATATTTCACCAAGGCAAGGTGACCTGAAAAAGAAGAAATGAAAAGTTTTTCTTCTTTACATTTAGAATTTTGCCACAGCATTTTCTTTTCAGGGTCTCCCCAAGTTTAAAGGTTATTGGAGAATGTTGACATGGACTCCTAGTTTTTCCCTCACTTTTACAGGAAATGAGTTGTACAGTGGAGGAGAGGAAAATGTACTTGTGAAGTGGCAGCTTTCAGAAGAGAAACGGAGCTTCCTTCCTCGCCTGGGCATGCATATCAGATTTGTGGTTACAGATATTACAAACACTTACATTGTAACAGCTCAAAAGGATAATGGTATGTATAGGAGGGTCTTAGTTATTTTCAAGGAATATAGGGAAGAGTAGTTTATTGGGTACAAGGTATATACGAGAGGGTAGTTTATGGATTACAGAAAAGGTAACGTGCTACAGAACAGTCATATTGTATTCTTAGAACATTTAACTGATATTATTTTGTTTAATTCATAATCAAATTAGAACAATTTTGCTTAGTCTTTTACTCAGTAAATACTCAATTTTTTTTTTTTTTTAACAAGTCGGCCGTCTCCCACTGAGGAAGGGTGACCCGAAAAGAAAGAAAATCCCCAAAAATAAAATACTTTCATCATCATTCAACACTTTCACCTCACTCACACATAATCACTGTTTTTGCAGAGGTGCTCAGAATACAACAGTTTAGAAGTATATACAGTGGACCCCCGGTTAACAATATTTTTTCACTCCAGAAGTATGTTCAGGTGCCAGTACTGACCGAATTTGTTCCCATAAGGAATATTGTGAAGTAGATTAGTCCATTTCAGACCCCCAAACATACACGTGCAAACGCACTTACATAAATACACTTACATAATTGGTCGCATTCGGAGGTGATCGTTATGCGGGGGTCCACTGTACATATAAAGATACACAACATATACCTCCAAACTGCCAATATTCCAAAATCCCTCCTTTAAAGTGCAGGCATTGTACTTCCCATTTCCAGGACTCAAGTCCGGCTATATAAAATAACCGGTTTCCCTGAATCCCTTCACTAAATATTACCCTGCTCACACTCCAACAGCTCGTCAGGTCCCAAATACCATTTGTCTCCATTCACTCCTATCTAAACGCTCCACAACCTTGCTGGAAGTCCAAGCCCCTCCCCACACAACCTCCTTTACCCCCTCCCCCCAACCCTTTCGAGGACAAACCCCTACCCCCGTCTTCCTTTCCCCTACAGATTTAACGCTCTCCATGTCATTCTAACTTTGATCCATTCTCTCTAAATGACCAAACCACCTCAACAACCCCTCTTCAGCCCTCCAACTCCCTCCCGCTGCAGCATTTACAACCCAAGCTTCACACCCATATAAGAGTGTTGGTACCACTATACTTTCATACATTCCCTTCTTGCCTCCATAGATAACATTCTTTGTCTCCACATATACCTCAACGCACCACCACCTTTTTTCCTCGTCAGTTCTATGATTAACCTCATCCTTCATAAATCCTTTCCGCTGATACGTCAACCCTAAATATCTGAAAACATTCACTTCTTCCATACTCCTCTTCCCAATTTAAATTGCAATTTTTCTTTATCTAGATCATTTAATACCCTCATCACCTTCCTCTTTCCTGTGTTCACTTTCAACTTTCTACTTTACAACACACCTCCCAGATTTTGTCCACTAACCTCTGCAATTTTTCTTTAGAACCACCCATAAGCACAGTAAACATCACAAAAAGTAACTGTGTCACTTTCCATTTTGTATTTGATTCCCCATAATTTAATCCCACCCTTCTTTCTACACATAGCTAAATTTAAAGGCTCCCCATTTACATTTACCCTGGCACCCCAAATTTACCTACTACTCCCTCCACAACATTTTTACCCCACTTTAGCATTGAAATCCCCAACCACCAGTCCTCAACACTTGGTTTTCAAAACTCCCCACGCATTCACTCAACATTTCCCAAAATCTCTCTCTCCTCTCCTCTACACTTCTCTCTTCTCCAGGTGCATATATGCTTATATAACCCACTTTTCACATCCAACCTTTATTTTACTCCACATAATCCTTGAATTAATACATTTATAGTCCCTCTTTTCCTGCCATATTTATCCTTCAACATTATTGCTACTCCTTCTTTAGCTCTAACTCTGTTTGAAACCCCTGACCTAATCCCATTTATTCCTCTCCACTGAAATCTCCCCCCCCTTTCAGCTTTGTTTCACTTAAAGCCAGGACTTCCAGCTTCTTCTCATTCATAAAACATCCAAAATCATCTCTTTCTTATCTTTGCACAACATCCACATACATTCAGACTTCCCACTTTGACAATTTTTTTCTTATTATTCTTTTTAGTAATCTTTAGAGGAAAAGAGGTTACTAGCCCATGTTCCTGGCATTTTAGTTGACTTTTACAACATGCATGGCTTACTGAGGAAAGATTCTTATTCCACTTCCCCATGGATATAAAAGGAAAAGTAATAAGACCAAGAACTTTTTTTTTTTTTTTTTTTTTCAACAAGTTGGTCGTCTCCCACCGAGGCAGGTGACCCAAAAAGAAAGAAAATCCCCAAAAAGAAAATACTTCATCTCATTCAACACTTTCACCACACTCACACATTTCACTGCTTTTGCAGAGGTGCTCAGAATAACAAAAGTTTAGAAGCATATACGTATAAAGGGTACACAACATATCCTTCCAAAACTGCCAATATCCCCAAACCCCCCCTTTAAAAGGCAGGCATTGTACTTCCCATTTCCAGGACTCAAGTCCGACTATATGAAAATAACCGGTTTCCCCTGAATCCCTTCACTAAATATTACCCTGCTCACACTCCAACAGATCGTCAGGTCCCAAGTATCATTTGTCTCCATTCACTCCTATCTAACACGCTCATGCACGCTTGCTGGAAGTCCAAGCCCCTCGCCCCCAAAACCTCCTTTACCCCCTCTTTCCAACCCTTTCGAGGACGACCCCTACCCCTCTTTCCTTCCCCTATAGATTTATATGCTTTCCATGTCATTCTACTTTGATCCATTCTCTCTAAATGACCAAACCACCTCAACAACCCCTCTTCTGCCCTCTGACTAATGCTTTTATTAACCCCACACCTTCTCCTAATTTCCACACTCCGAATTTTCTGCATAATATTTACACCACACATTGCCCTTAGACAGGACATCTCCACTGCCTCCAACCGTCTCCTCGCTGCTGCATTACCAAGAACTATTAAGATAAAATCAAAGAAAACTCAGATGAGTGTGTATAAATAAACGTGTATGTGTAGTGTAACCTAAGTGTAAGTAGAAGTAGCAAGACATACCTGTAATCTTGCATATTTATGAGACAGACAAAAGACACCAGCAATCCTACCATCATGTAAAACAATTACAGGCTTCGTTTTACACTCACTTGGCAGGACGGTAGTACCTCCCTGGTTGGTTGCTGTCTACCAACCTACTACCTATACATACATGTACAAGTATATATATACACACCCCTCTGGGTTTTCTTCTATTTTCTTTCTAGTTCTTGTTCTTGTTTATTTCCTCTTACCTCCATGGGGAAGTGGAACAGAATTTTTCCTCTTTAAGCCATGCATGATGTAAGAGGTGACTAAAATGCCGGGAGCAAGGGGCTAGTAACCTCTTCTCCTGTATATATTACTAAATATAGGAGGAGAAACTTTCGTTTTTTTCTTTTGGGCCACCCCGCCTCGGTGGGATACGACCGGTGTGTTGAAAGAAGAAAGAAAGAAATATCAGTGTAAATATAAAAGGACCCCAATGGAAATACGTAAGTCACCCGGACTTTTTTGGGTTATCCTTGGTACTTTACGCATATGCTGCTATGTATGTGTGTATATGTAATTGTATTTGTGTATACCTGAATAAACTTACTTATTTATAAATTAAAGTGTAAATATTTCATATTTATAAATTAAAATGTAAATCTTTCTTATGTATCAATTACATGCTACATTCATTAAGTGTGATAGTGGTGGTGGGTTCTGCTGGTGCTCCGCCACCACCATTATGTATGGTTTCTCTCAGTGACCCTTATAAACCCATCAGCAACACTTACACCATTTACTCCTCTTATCCATTATGACATTTTATTCATTCTAGAGTATATATCATGTTTCTTTGTTATTAATATTGTTTATATTGTCGTATTAGATGAATTGTGGTAGATAAATAAACCGTAGAGATATTAGCATCATACTGAAGCATAATAAACTTGCCTTCCTCTTGCCTCCTACATGTCTACCATACACCAACAAGTCAAGTCAAGTCAATAAAGGTAAGTGTGATGTTAAATGTTCATTTTTTCCATTTTATTAGTGCTTTATATTTATTTGTCATTGTTTTCTGTATGTATATTTATATTTAATCTTTAAAAAAAATATTTTTTGTTAGTACTTTTAGCTGTCTGAAACGGATTAATTGGATTTCCATTATTTCTTTTGGGGAAAATTAATTCGGCTAAAGGCGTTACCCGAGGGTCCACTGTATAGTGGTTTACAGTATCAAAGGCCTTTTGCAAGTCTAAGGTTACCATTCATATGAATTCCCTATCGACATTTCAGTTCTCATGGAATTCATCAGATTAATTAGGGAGGTGTTGGTTGAGTAAGATCCCCTAAAACCTGATTGGTAACTATGAAGAATGTTGTCATTAAGGTACTTAACTACTTGACAGTACACTGCCCTCTAGAATTTTGGATATTACGCTGAGTATACTAACAGGCCTATAGTTGCTGACATCAGACCTACTATTTTTCTTGAAGATAGGAGTAACTCTGGCCTCCTTGAACCCCTCTGGTACTGTATTGGTGGTGATGGACAAATTTACTATGTGAGCAATGGGGATTGGCAATTCAGAGGCACCGTCTTTTAGGAACTTAGACAAGATGTTGTATGGGCCAGTGCTCTTAGCTGGGTTTAACCTGCTTAGTTCTTTTTGCACAAAGTCATGAGATACACTTACTAATTGACAACTGTTTGGGGTTACCCCTTTATTGGTATAGTATGTTTTAAAACTTATCAGAATTTGTGTTAAAGGTATTTGATGCAGCTGGTAGTTTACTTACTACTGCTGATGCGACAGTTGTGTAGTATGAATTAAAACAATTTGCCAATTAAGTTGTTTCGTGGCATACCTTGTTATCGATATTTAGCATTATGTTCGATCTATCTACTGGTTTATGGCTACACCCCAGCTGTTTTAGTTGTTGCCAGAGCTTTCTAGGGTTATTCTTGTACTCTTCAATTTTTGAGCAATAGTGCCATGCCTTTGCTTTTTTATTAGCCTCTGCACTCTGTTCGAAAACCCTTTGGAATTCATTTAGCACTGCAATATCCTGTCTGTTTGCTTTAAATCTTTTTAGCAACCGGTCTCTGAATTTCATATTATCTAATATCTCAGTAGTCACCCAGGGTTCAGTTCTCTGTTTAATCCTAACCTCTTGAACTGGTGCAATATTATCAAGGATGGCAGTGAACATTGTTTTGAATTTTTCCCAGGCATCATTTCATCTGTGCAACTTGTTTTCTCTGTCCAGTCGCAATTCTGTAGCCTATTTACCAGTGTTTCTTTACTGTAGTTTCTAGTTGATGATGATAAATTCTGTAATTGAATTGATGTTTTTATTTTAGTAAATTATGGAAAAGGTTTTTAATCAAATGCACTGCTTATTTTACACAGCAAAAATTAATGGTAAGTTAAACACTAAAGATATGGGAAAAATTTCATCTACTTTGATTCATAGATAAATTTTTTAAGTTTCTTGCGAGGAATGGAGAGATGTATTAACCCTTTGAGGGTTTCGGACGTACTAGTACGTCTTAAGCGCAGGGGTTTTTGACGTAGTAGTACGCATAAATTCTAGCGCCGTCAAATCTCGCGGGAAAAGGCTGGTAGGCCTCCATATGAAAGAATGGGTCTATGTGGTCAGTGTGCACAGTATAAAAAAAATCCTGCAGCACACAGTGCATAATGAGAAAAAAAAAACTTTCACTGTTTTTTTGGCATAAAACAGCGACTTTGCACTGTATTTTCGTATGGTATTTATTGTTGTATTCTAGTTTTCTTGGTCTCATTTTATAGAATGGAATGCATATCACAGAAATGGAGATGATTTTCACTGGTTTTACAATGAAAAGTACCTTGAAATTGAGCTCAAAGTAACAGAAATGTTCGATTTTTACCAAAGTTCAAAAGTAAACAAATCATGCCAAGCGTCCAATACATGTCAACTGGTGAGTCTAACATTCTTTTGCAAGTGCGCCAATATGATTTATACCATTTTTTACACTAATGCAGTAGTCTGCATAACAGTAAATCTTCTATTTTTCGTGAGAATAAAAATTCAAAGTGGAAAGCAAAAGAATGTAAGAGGGGCCTTGAGATGTGACTAATGAACAGAAGAAATGTCATTTTAGTGCCAGGAATGTATTTCTTGTTTGTTCTGGACCCTATTCGGAAATTGGCATTTTTTGAAATTTGTGTGAAATTGGCAAAATTGCTAAATTCTGACCACTGTATTGGATAGTTGAAAATGGTAAATGGGTGGTTTCTTGCACTCATTCAATAGAAAAAATGTAGTTCTAGCGAAATATTCATGTTTTTTGTCGACTAGTACAGAGGAATTGGCCGAAAATGGGGCTCAAATTGGGCAAAATCGCCGATGCGTAAACATCGCCGAGACTGCTAACTTCACAAGAGCATAATTCCGTAAGTTTTCCATCAAATCTCATAATTTTGGTGTCATTATGATCGGGAAAAGATTCTCTATCTTTTCATAAGAAATTTTTTTTTTTTTTTTTAAATTTGGCCGACCCTGAGAACGAGTTTCTGAGAGGGTCTGTCGACCCTCAAAGGGTTAATGGAAAATATATTAATGAGAGAGAGTTGTTGAAAAGTTGCTGAGTACTGGAGTGTTCTATGTATTTTGTGAATATTATTAGGTACTGGTACAAAAGTTAAAATAAATATCAACCACATTTTTTTCTTCAGCATTTAGTATTATTTCTGCAAAGAAGTACAAGGCAGAAGGGGTTATCCAAGGACTTGCCATGAATACAGATAATGCTGAACCCTTCCCAGCTGGCATTGCATATGACCCTTTCACCAGGGCTGTTGTCTTGAATGGCAGGACAGGTCATGTTCAGTTTTATGACTTGCACCATGGAAAACAGCTCTTCCATGTAAGTAGCTTACAGCAGATATTTTTTAATAAACTTCTTAGGAATATTTTAAATTCACCAAGTAATGTATATTTGAACGCTTGAATTTATCTCGTATAAGGCGCTACTAATCTGTAAGGTGTATTTTGTTTTACCGTGAAGATTAGAGATATCCATACACTTCTGGCAAGACAGCGATCAAATAAATGACTGTGAAAGTGTTTCTTTTTTTTTCAGTTGCCATACCTTGGTGAGAGATTGCCAGTGTATAAAAAATTCCTTAATATTTTTAATATGTCATTCCAACTGATGTGGATTTCTGAGAAAAAGTATTGTGTAAATAAATAAATAAATATAAATAAACATAACATAATTCATTTATTCATTTATTAATTCATTCATTTATTTACACACAGTAGTACTTTGTTTTGGAAATGCACATCAGTTGGAGTGATAGATTTAACACGTTTAAGGATTTTTTTTTATATACAAGTTGGCCCTCTATCACATAGGTATCTTTCTTTCTTTCAACACACCGGCCGTATCCCACCGACGCGGGGTGGCCCAAAGGGAAAAACGAAAGTTTCTCCTTTCAAATTTAGTAATATATACAGGAGAAGGGGTTACTAGCCCCTTGCTCCCGGCATTTTAGTCGCCTCTTACAACACGCATGGCTTACGGAGGAAGAATTCTGTTCCACTTCCCCATGGAGATAAGAGGAAATAAACAAGAACAAGAACTAGAAAGAAATTAGAAGAAAACCCAGAGGGGTATGTATATATACGCTTGTACATGTATGTGTAATGTGACCTAAGTGTAAGTAGAAAGTAGCAAGATGTACCTGAAATCTTGCATGTTCATGAGACAGAAAAAAGGACACCAGCAATCCTACCATCATGTAAAACAATTACAGGCTTTCGTTTTACACTCACTTGGCAGGACGGTAGTACCTCCCTGGGCGGTTGCTGTCTACCAACCTACTGATCACATAGGTATAGTGACCTGAAAAAGAAGAAAACACTTTCACAGTCATTCATTCAATCACTGTCTTGCCAGAAGCGTGCCAACATCACAGCTCAAATAACTTTTGTCTGCAACATCATTAACCCTTCTTCAGAGTACAGGCACTGTACAGTGGAACCTTGGCTTATGAACGCCCCACCATGTGAACTTTTCAGGATATGAACAGTCATTCGGTCGATTTTTTGCTTCTGGATACGAACTTTCCCTTCAAGGGAGGTTCCTTAAATAAATAAATAAATAAATAAAATAAAATATTATATTATGTATAAATATTATATTAATAAATTATTATTTTATTATCACACTGGCCGATTCCCACGAGGGCAGGGCAGCCTGAAAAAGAAAAACTTTCACCATCATTCACTCCATCACTGTCTTGCCAGAAGGGTGCTTTACACTACAGTTTTTAAACTGCAACATTAACACCCCTCCTTCAGAGTGCAGGCACTGTACTTCCCATCTCCAGGACTCAAGTCCGGCCTGCCGGTTTCCCTGAACCCCTTCATAAATGTTGCTTTGCTCACACTCCAACAGCACGTCAAGTATTAAAAACCATTTGTCTCCATTCACTCCTATCAAACACGCTCACGCATGCCTGCTGGCAGTCCAAGCCCCTCGCACACAAAACCTCCTTTACCCCTTCCCTCCAACCTTTCCTAGGCCGACCCCTATCCCGCCTGCCTTCCACTACAGACTCGTACACTCTTGAAGTCACTCTGTTTTGCTCCATTCTCTCTACATGTCCGAACCACCTCAACAACCCTTCCTCAGCCCTCTGGACAAGAGTTTTGGTAATCCCGCACCTCCTCCTAACTTCCAAACTACGAATTCTCTGCATTATATTCACACCACACATTGCCCTCAGACATGACATCTCCACTGCCTCCAGCCTTCTCCTCGCTGCAACATTCATCACCCATGCTTCACA